TTTTTTTTTTTTTTTTTTTTTTTTTTTTTAGTATTTATATGTATTTATATATATACACCTTATTTTTGTATTTTAGTAATTTATAATATATAAAATATACAATAAAAAAATGTAATATTTAAAAAAAAACAAAAGAAAGTAAAATAATATAAATCTATGAAATATTTAACATATAGAATTACATTAGAATGACACTTGATATGTATCAATAAATACGTAGGTAAATATTTATGTTTTTTTATGGTTTTCTTATTTATTTTTAACTTAAATTGGAATATATTTTACAAATTTTTTAGAAAAACAGATAAGTATTCTTTTATATTAGTTTATAATAAAAAGTACTTTATAATTGCAACAATACAAACTTAAAAAAAATATAATAATAATAAATATAACAATATAGAATAGATATAAAAAAAAAAAATGAAGAAATTTGGATAGAAATATTAAAAAGAAAAAAAAATAAAGGTTATACAACTTTATATATTTATGAATAAATTGTTATATTATTATAAATAAATGTAATTCCATAAATGTAAACACAACTTCTATTTTGCTTGTAAAAAATTAAAAAAAAATACATATAAATAACATACCTACATAGTGTTCAGTTAACATTTTTTTAATGCATGTTTTAAATAACATACATATAAAATACTATTATAATTTGAAATATAAAAACTTATGAAAAAAAATAGAATAAAAAGAAAATTACTATGATTATTTTTTTCTTTTAAACTATATTTATAAAATGTAAGAGATATATATATATATTATATATTTGTAATTCTATAAAAGGTGAAAAAACAATTTATAAATATATTACAATTCTTAAAAAAAAGTTTCTATATATTATAATTAACTTAATTACAAGAATTATAAATAATTTCGCATAAGAATTTATTATTATCTTTAGAGAAGAATGTGTGTGAATATTTTTTTATAATCCTAATCATTAACATATGTATTTTTTTTTTTTAATATAATACCTTAGATACTTTTTATTAAAAATTTATATATATATATAGTACAATAAGAATAGATAATACAAAATTAAAAAAAAAAAGTAAAAAAAAAAAGATTAAATAAAAATTAGTTAAATTTATGTTATATAAATCTCTTTAATTTTTTATTTTCCAAAATATATAATTTTTTTTTCCAGCTTTTTAACAATTTAATAAATAAATTAATATACTAAAATTTATTATTAAATATATCTTTAAATAAATTACATGATGTTTTATTTGTCTTTTTAAATTGTTAGCTATTACAATATGTAAGTGTATATTTGAAAAAATTATAAGAAAATACGTTATCTTAATGAAGATTAACAGAGAAAAAGCATTTATGTATTTATTAATGTAATAATAATACATTTATAATTATGATTTTATGTATAATAATTTATTTTATAAATATATTGACAAAAGATAAATGGAATTCTACTATAAATTATAAAAGATTATGCTTGGAACTTTTAAGGAAATAAAATAATGATAAAAAAAAAATTGTTAAAGAATATTTATTTCTTTTTATAAAAAAAAAAAAAAAAAAATTTAGAAAACTATGAGCTGCATTACACTGCTTTAAGTAATAAAATATTAATAAAATGATATTTAAAAATTATAATTTTTTATGCACAAAAATTTTATTGTAATAATTTAATTTAAAAAAAAGAATTTTTTTTTTTTTTTTTATTTATATTAGAACATAAAAAAGAACACTTAGATTTGTTTTATCATTTTTTTTTTATCAACTTTCTTTTAATAAAGTTTATTTAAAATAATTTTTCTAAAATAACATTATTACACAATTTCTATATAACTAAAAGAATTTCTTTTAAAAGAATAAATGTGTTACTAATTTTATTAAAATAAAATTTTTTTTTATTTAATCTTTTAGATATATATATATATATTTTTAAATAAATTTTTTGGTAATTTAAATATTTTTATTAAAAAGAAAAAAAAAAAAAAAATGTAAAGTAGCTAAAAGTTTAATGCAAAATATGTTTTCATTAAGAAAAAAAAAAAAAAATATAAAAGTATTTGTTTTAAAATTTCATAAACTAGTATTCCACATCCGTGCATATTAAATTCATTATATTTTTTTTTAACTTATTAAAACAAAAGGATCATATTTTTATAATATATATAGTCAGCTTAATATCTACCATTATAGTTGGTTAAATTGAGTTTTACACAAATTGTGAAATAAGTTTTTTTGTTTAAAATTTTTTTTTTATTTTTTAAATTTTGTATTAAAGAAATAAAAATAATAATTAAAAATTATATGAAACATAGTAACATAATTTGAAAAACATTTTACATAAGAAAATATGAAAATAAAAACAATAATATTACAGAAATTATAATTTTATTTTAATTTGCATATATGATTTATATGTATCTGGAATTCTAACAAAAAATTAATGTTTTCAAGTATTAAAAACTGAATATTTTTAACATACAAAAAAAAAAAAAAAAAAAAATAGATAAAGAATGAACATATATTTATATATAAATATGTATATTTAATAATTTATAAATGTATAAAAGCTTTTATGATGTTTAATAATGAAATTATTATAACTATATTAAGAACTAAAAAAAAAAAGTAAAGGATAAATATTATATTTCTTATTCATAATTTTTTTTTTTTTTTTTTTTGTTATTTTAAAATGAGTTTAATCAAAAAAATTTTTTATCCAAACATAATACCAAAAATAAAAAATAGAATAGAGTGTTACAATATTAATCATAATATAAAAAATGCATTAGGTAAAGATAATAAAATAAAAAATAGTTCCACAAATATAATAATATATATATATATATATATATTTAATTGAATAACTTTAAAAAATATAAAAATTTATAAATTTCTTTTTTATAGTATCAGATACAGGTCTTCTAAGTATTCATTTTTGGGCTCCCACATTTAAATGGTCTATATCATTAGCTAATCTAGCTGAAATAAATAGAGATGCAAATATACTATCATTGCCTCAACAATTTGGTAATTTTATTTTTCATTTATTTAAATTTTTTATTTAAATTATTTATTTATATCTTATGTTCCTTATTTAATTTTTATTTTTTTTATTTTTTTTTATTTTTTTTTTTTTTTTTTTCCTTTTTTATAGCTATATTTTTTACTGGGTTGCTCTTCTCCAGATTTGCGTATGTTGTAAAACCACGAAATTACAATTTATTGACAAGTATTAATAGCAAAAATTTCAATTTTTTTTTTTCTTTTTTATTTTTATTATATAGATATATAACACATTTATTGATTATTTTTATCCATATTACTTTTACAGTTAACTTATTTATGAGTTTAACAGCGTTATATCAAATTACACGTATTGCAAATTGTAAATATAACTTAAAAATGAAAGATAAAATTAATAATCCTATAAGTAAGAATTAATGTATTTTTTTTTTTTTTTTTTTTTTTTTTTTTTGTAATATTATTTTAAAACAATATAATTTATCATTTATTACCTTCGAATAACATTATATATATTGAAAAAAAAATATATATATATTTAAAAATACAAAAACAATACATTAACATATAAACTCTGAATAGTTTTCAGTATTAAAAGATATTAAAAACATTAAATAACTATGTTAAGTAAATAAACAAATATTTACAAATATATAGTAATAAAAACTATATCATTGTAATATATATATATATATATATATATATATATGTATTTGTAATAGAAATAAAAATTATATGTTTAAGTAAAAATATAAACCACTTATGAAAAAAAAAAATATGGGAAATAGGAAATTTTAATTGTAAAAATATACATCAATTAAAAAAAAAAAAAATACTATAAAAAATATATATACATATATATAATGAAAAGTATATATTTATATTTTGTTTTCATAATAAAAAAAAAAAAAAAATGCTAATTAGTTATTTGTACATTATTATTAATCAAATTTTGATAATCCCTAATTTTATCTCTTATTTCTTTCAAATATTGTTTTATTATTTTTTTTTTCTTAATAAATTTATTGATGTAGCTTAATCTTAATTTTTTTTCTTTTCTGGAATTAGGAAAAACAAAAGTTGAAATTTTATTTTCCATCTTAATTCTTCTTCTTATTTTTTTTTTTCTTTTTTGCTTATACTTTTCTTTCATTTTATTTCTATCTGAAATAATATATGATCTTACTTTTTCTTCAATTTCATTTTTCAAATTAATTTCAAAATTAAATTTTTTAACAGGTCTTTTTTTAACTCCAACCATTTCTAAAGAATGATATTTTAAATTAAAGAAAATATTAATATTTTTGAAATCAAAAAATTTTAATGTTTTTATTCACGAAAAAAAAAAAAATTAAATAAAATTAAAAGAAAAAGAAAAAGTTTTTTAAAATGAATATTTTAAAGCTCTTATTTATTAAATTATATTAATAAAATAAAAAATATATTCAATAAAGAGTTTATATTTTTCTTAAAATATTTATTGAAAAATATTTTAATTTTTATTAAAAGAAAAAAGAAAATATATATATTTCATAGAAAAAAAAAAAAAAAAAAAAATTCATAAAAAAATATTCTGTTTGATATATATATATATAATTTGCTAATTAAGATTGCTTTGAAAACATACGTAATTTATTTAATACAATTATGATTTAATAAATAGCATAAATGATTATAATTAAGACTTGCTTTAAATAATTCTCAAATAACATAAATAGTTGTTAATATAGAAATTTTTAATTTCATTCTTTATGAAAAAAAAAAAAAAAAAAAAAAAAATTATAAAAAATTGGAAGCTTTTAAATGAAAATGAATGAAAAAGAAAAACAAAGTTTTGATGAACAGCGTTAGGATAATTAATAAATTCAATTAAATTATATTTTTATATTTTTTTTTTTTTTTTTTATAATAAATTCATAAAAAACATTTTTTTTTTTTTTATCTTAGCTATTAGTGAATTTGATTTACAAAAAGTATTAAATAAATTTAATATGAGTGATTATAATGAAGATTTTGTAATAACAAATAACATTTTAAAGTATCATATGAAAAGTATAGAAGTTTATAATTATGAGAAAAATAAAATATATGATAAAAGTGAATTAGATTTATATAAAGAAAAATTAATAAATAAAGATAACGTTCATTATTATCCATATGAATTATATTTTAACACTTATAAAAATATCTATAAAGAAGATAAAATGCTATTAAGTATACCAAATAATATTAAAAAAACTAAAGAAAAAGAAAATGATGAAAAAGAAGAAGAACAAGAAGATAAAGAAAAAGAAGATAATGCATCAAGTAAAAGGAAAAAAAATATATATATATATATATATATATATATATATATATATATATATATATATATATATATATATATATATATATAATTCTATAACAAAATAATATAAAATTTGTTAATAAAAAGTCATTTTAAAATATCATAAAAAACTTACTAAAAAAAAAATATAAATAATTTTTTTTTTTTTCATGCATATAATAAAATAGGATTATAACATAAAATATATATTTAAATTATATTTATGTATCTTTAATATATAAGAATTTACTAATTTATATATACATATATATTTTCTTTTTATAATTAGATATTTTTGAAGAAGAACAAGGTTCAGAAGATGATTATAATTTCGATTACAACAAAAGTGAAGATGAATTAGACAATGATGATAATGATGAAAATGTTATATAATGAGGAATTCTTAAAATTTCAGCTATTTCTTTTACAGCTATACTAATATGACATTTCTCATCATTTAATGTATCAGAAAATTGTGTATTTATGAGTATAGAAATAATGTTTTCTAAGTCTTCATATGAATTAAATAAATAGTTCTTAATTTCATTTGGAGAAATAAAATTAATATTTGTATAGAGGTAATCATTTGTAAATTCTCTGATTTTAGGATATCTATAAAAAAGAAAAAAAAAAAAATAAAATAAAATAAAATAAATTAATAGTTTTATATTATCAATTGATATATATGTATATTTATATATTTATTCCTTTTCTTTTACCTGTGTAACAATAAATTTAAAATTAAAAACACTGCAAATTTTTTTATGTTCAAATGAAGATAAGGACACATAAAAATATTTATGATTAATTCAGATATGGTTTTAATAAGTGTATAACAATTATATTTTTCCAAATAAAAAAGAAAGAAATTCAGAAAACAAAAAGCGGCAAAATTATTTATTATTGAAAATTTAACAAATGAATTTACACTTTTTAAAAAAATTTCTAGCTGTATTAAATTAAAATTATTTAGGTAATACAAAATTTTAACTAAACAAATATTCACATATTGTAATAGCTCTATTTTTTCATGATATTCTCTTTTAATTTGATTATTTTCTTTTATTCTTTTTTTTTTCTCTTTTTTTTTTTTGTCTTTATCAACATTTTCATATTCATCATTTATAAAAATTATATTTGAATCAAAGAATATGTTATAATTATTAAAAATATTTTTTAAAAAATTATAATTTTCATATTTTTTTTCAGATAAAATTATTTCTTTTAAGTTGATATTTTGCAAATTATAATCATATAAGGAAAAATATGTATCATCAAAATCTTTTAATAATTCAATATGTTTCATATCATACTTATTATATAACATTTTCAAAATATTCTTGCTACCATTATCATTTTGATCGTTATTTATACTTCTATTATTATTATTATTATTATTGTAGTTGTAAAAACAATTTATCTTTTTTTTGTTATATTCATAGAATATTTGATTAATAACAAAGTAGTCATAATTTATAAAATATTTTTTATAATATCGTATATATAAAAATAAAATATTGTCTCTTATGTATCCAAATGTGTAAATATTTTTATATTTATCTAAAAATTCTAAAAATAAAAATTCAATTGATTTTTCTTTTCCCTTTTTCATTAAATTAGTATATTCATAATTGCCGTATTCATTTTGTGAAGAATAATAACATAATGTATTAAAAAATCCATTAATAATATAATAATTATATTTATTTAAAAACAATAAATAAAATACATGATTATATAAATAAGTTTCATTGTATTCTAAACATTTTATTACACTAATATTTTTTTTCGTTTTATCCAATAGAAAATGAACATCTTTAATTAATTTTTCTTCTTCTATTGAGATCTTTTCTTCATTTTCGCTTAAATTTATTTCATCTATAAAATCGTTATTAATATTTATATGATCAAAAGTTAGATGATGATCTTCATTATTTCTGTCATTTATCTTTTTTTTTTCATTCTCTTCGTTGTAGTTAGAATTATATCCCTTTATTAATGCCTTTCTTGTTGACATAAATTTGTTTTTGTGAAAAATAGAAAAACTTGTATATTTCAAAGAATAATTGTATAAATAAATGAAGTTATTAATCTTGTTAAATATAGTCTTAATAACATCATATTTATAATTTTCATTTAAAAATACTTCAGTAATTTCTTCTTCATACTTACAAGAGCATTTATTTATTTTCTTTTTTTCAGAATTACTTTGTAATTCACATATACTTTTTTTATTATTAGAATTCATGTAATTATAACAGTGTGTATCATCTTTTTTGTCTTTTAAATATATAGGTTCATAATAATCACATACATGAGTAGTTATATTTTTAAATGCACTAAAAATATTAGTTGAATAACTACTTAAGAATTGATATATATTTATTTTACTTTTTCTTATGTTATCATCAATCTTTTTTCTTAGAAATAATTCATAAGAAAAGTCATGACAATATTTATTAAAAATGTTATCAAAAGAAAAACATTCCTTTTCTTTTCTTTCATTAAAAAAAGCATAATTATATAAATAATTTAGTATGAATAAACACTTCTTATGTGTTCTTACATTCTTTTCGCATAATAACTTCAATAACAATTGGATAAGCATATTTATGTTTTTTTTTTTTATTTCAAATAATATATATAAACAAACATTATTTTCATAGTTATTTTTTTCTTCTTCTTTTTTATTTAAATTTATGTTATTTTTCTCTACCTTATCTTTTTTATTATCATCACTTTCACTATCCTCATAACTATCATCTGAGCTAAAATATTCATAAAAAAAATTTTTACTTAATGAATTATTTATGCTATTAATATATTCATCCTCTTTATTCTCTCTTTTTTTTTCTTTTATTATTTTGATATTTTGATATTTTGTTTTTTTCAACTTTCTTTTAAAAAAATAAAGCGGAAAGGACGTTAATAAAAAGGCAGTTAAATCTAAACAAATCTCTCTAACATAAACATGTGAATCTCCAATATCATTTTCATACACATATTCTTGTAAGTATAAAATTATTACTTTTATCATTTTATTTATATTTAAATTTAAATTGAATATTTCTATATTTTTTTTTTTACTCTTCTCTAACACAATATTCCAATCTATTTTTTTTTTTACAAAGTTAATCTTTTTTTTCATATAAAAGCATGTGTTTCTTCTTTTTTTTTTATTTAGATTATTTAATTTTACATTTGTCTTGTATTCATTTTCTTTTTTATAATTTTCCATATTTTTGTCACATATGTCTTTATTACAATCTAAAGCGATACAAGCTTTATCATCATAATTAATTAAACTATCATCACTAGAACTTTCACTACTGAACTGTTTATCCTCTATATTTTCCATGTATGTTTTCTGATCTTTATGATTTTCACTATTTGAATTTGCGTTATTTTCTGTATATTCATTTAAAGAATATTCTGATCTTTCATTATAAGCAGTTGTACTTTTATTATATGGACGTTTTTTCAATTTCATTTTTTGAGGATTTTTTGATTTAATTAGACCTTTAAAACTTATTGTACATTTATCATAAACTTTTAAAAAATCACTTATACATTTTTTTCTGAGTTTATCAATTATATTAAATAGTCCTAATAAACAGTATATTTTCATATTAAAATCAATGGGATATGTGTCAAAATTTATTTTTTTAAAAAAACAAATATCATTTTTTATTTGATGATTTATTTTAATATCTGAATTTTCTATTTTTACATCATTCATTTTGCTCATTTTATTATTTAATGAAAATTTTTTTATTTTATAATATGTTGTACTTTTTTTCAAGATATTATAAAAAATTTGAATTGTTTTATCATAAATATGTGGTATAATTTCCTCGTTTACAAAACATAGAAGTATAAGATATCCTTTTAAATGTAGAAAATTGTTTTTCTCTTTTATAATTTTACAAAACACTTCATATATATAATCAATAGCGCTACCTTTGTTTAATATGTATATAGGCATGTAATAAAATATTTTTGAAGCTTCAAATTGTATAATTTCATTATAATGAAATAAGTTATTATGTAAAACTTCCATGAAAAAAGTGTAAGTGTTTTTTTTTACACTAAAATAATTACATTGACATACACTTTGTATTAATAAACATAAAGAATGTCTTAAAATTTCTCCTTTTTTGTATTTATATATTCTTTTTTTTTCACTATAAACAATTATTTTCTTTATCTCATTTTGTAATGTTTCATCAATATTTTTTTTTAATTTTAAAAGTATTTTAGATATACATATAATAGAACCATGTTTTACTAAAACATTTTCTTCATAACTTTTCTTTATTAAAAATGGCAGAATAACTTTAATAAAGTAATCTTCATCAACTTCCGATAAATTTGCTAATGATTCAGATGATAATATTCTTATGTTAATATTTTCATGAAATAATTTATTCGAATATAAATGATATATAACTGGATATTTATACAAAAAAAAATTACAAACAATCTTTGCTTTTAAAATTATAGATTTTTTTAAATTTATTAATTCACTGAAATTACAAGTAGATAAAAGATCAATATTAATATTAAATATATCTTTTTTTATTTCATTCATGCATTTTGTATTTTTTTCGAATATAATTTTTTCTTCATCATTACAATTAAGATTATCGTTAATTTCGTTCAAAGAACAATTTGAACTACTTTTTATATTTTCATAATAATTACTAATGTTTGAATGATTAAAAAATAAATTGATAAATTGAAGTATTTGTAAAAATAATTGCTCTTGATTATTATAATGTGTACTTATATTTTTATGTATAACATTATCGCAACTATGTTTTACATTATTCATAGTTGTAATAGGAGAGTCACTATTATTAGTAGTAACAGTAGTAGTATAACTATTATTATCATCATTCTTACTATTTAAATAATTTTTTATTTCATATAAAAAGTTAAATTTTCCTATGAAGAATTGTAATAATGACATAGCTGATTTTCTAATATTAATGTTGTCTTCAAATAAGGATAAAATAATTAATTTTATAAATATTAAATGAAATAAAAAAAAATTTATACTATTGTCGTTTTGTTCATAATAATTTTTTATAAGTATATTATACTTAAATAAGCTATATAACAATACAAAGGAACTGGAATAAATTTTCTCTATATTCGTATATAAGCTTTGGATAATTTTGAGAATAATGAAATTTAAAATTTCTATTGATAGATTGTTCTTATTAAAGATAAAATGAAATAAACTATAATTTATAGAACATAGAATATTACAATCATTATATTTTGTTAATTCATTGAATTTATTAAATATAATTTTAATATTATCTGAACTTAAGTAGATTAAAATATTACCAAAGCTCTTTGACAAACACCATCTAATGTAGCTATTATTATCATTGAAATAAAAAAATAGAATATTTAATATTTCTATTATGTCTTTTTCACATTTATATTTTTTGTTTACTTTTATATTTACTAATTTTTCTATATGTTTTTCTTTGGGTTTTTCTTCTGTACTTTTCTTATATAAAAGGAAAACATCATTAATATTTAAATAAAGAGGAAATTCATTAAAGAGTTCATTCTCTTCATTGCATTCATTATGACAAAATGTATTTGAGCTAGTATCATTTTTATTTATATTTTCTAATTTGAAATCTTCTTTGCTTGAATTTTTTATTGTAAATATTTCATTACTTTTATCAATACTACATTCATTTTGTCTTATTTTGCTTTGTTTTACTGCATCCAATGAATCATTAAGATAATAATTATTTTTTTCTTCTTTGTTATCACTTTTTTCTAAAAATAATAAAGCATAATAACCTAAGCATAGAATTTTTAATGATTTTGAAGTTTGAGTAAAATCTAGATTGTGATGATTTTGAATAAAAAAAAATTTATAAAAATTCGTGTAATTTCTTAGTATATTTTTATCTAGTTTTTTCAAAATTTTTTTATGTGTTAATAAAATCCCATATAAAATTAAATAGGAGAATTTCGTATGGCAATAATATGGAATGTTTGCATTTTTAATTATATAAATATCTTCTGTTAAGTTATTATTTTTTTTTGTTTCAATTTCTATTAATTTTATCATTATTTCCTTAGAAAAAATCAAAAAATGGTTGAAATAAGTTTTAGTTTTATAAACATCTTCTCTGCTTAAAAATTGAGAATATAAAACAGAACAAGCTTCTTTTGATTTTTCATCTTTTTTTATATAATAGTAATATATTTCTTCAATATTATTTAAAAGAAATGTGTTTATATTAATTAATTTAAAAGGTATATATAAGCAAAATGATAACCAAATTATTAAGATATATAAAATAGTCCACCCATTATTTTCATCAGTTTTATTACTTTTCAAATTATTAATGTAATTAAAAGTATTTTCCTCTTTTTTTATAATAAGAAGTAGATCGACTATGCTATTTAAATAAAAAGACTCACAAGGATATAACGTTTTAATTTTTTTTTCTCCTCTCACTGAAATTAATGTGTAATAATATTTATATATTTCTTCTATAATTATATACATTTTTATTTTTTTATTTTCATGCAGTATTTCTTCTTCCTCTACTTTATTTTCATTCACTTCTTTTTTTTCATTAGTATTGTTATCATCTAATAATATAATATTTTCATCGTATGTTATTTTTTGGCTTGTTGTAATATTTTTTTTCTCTTCACAAATTTTTTCATAATTATTATTTTCTCTTTTTTCATATTCTAATTTAGCATTGAAATATGTGCAAATGTTTTTTAAGTGATTAAAAGAGTTTTTCAAAAAAAATAAAAATGAATGAACCAATAAAGCTAAATGAGGATCTAATACATTTTTTATTTCTCTATAGCTATTTAAACAATTACTTAAATATTTTAAATTATCTAAAATGATCAAATAGTGTTTTACTATTTCATTCTCATCATCACTATTTAAATAATTTTTAACTATTTCTATTCTTTTTTCAACTTCTTCATATTCACGAAAAAAGTATGTTTTGTTTTCCATTTAGTACAAATAAAAAAAAAAAAAAAAAATACATACGTATATTTCTTATATATTGAAGTGTATTTAGAAATATATATATTTTTTTTTTAAATTAATATTATTTTGAACTTAAAAAAAAAGAACAAAAAAAAATTAAAGCTTCAAATAAATCTTTTATTTTTGTTTTTTTTAAAAGAAATTTCAAAAAAAAAAAAAAAAATAATAAATTTTATAAAAATGCAATTATTTTTTACTCTTTAAACTCTTACATTAAAAGAATGCCAGATAAAATATATTATTTCCCGCATTTCATTAAAAAACCTGATATGCGTGAAAGTTTAACACTTAGACGTAACAAAAAAGGTAAAAGAAAAAATATCAATAAAAAGAAATTTATCTTAATGATAGGAAATATATTTGCATTAAACGTTATTTTTTAAAAATATATTTTTTAATTTATTTTATAATTTTAATCTTTTTTTTTTTTTTTTTATCCTTTAAGAATTATAAATAATTATACAATATTTTATATATAAGCTTATAATTTTATATTATTTTCTTTTTAAACAAAAAAGTAAAAGTAGTTTTTAGAAATATTAGCGGAGCTACATTATTAAAAAAAAATAAAATATTGATTAACGGAAACGAAACATTTGCTTCTATACTAAATTTTCTTCAAAAAATTTTTAATAAAAATGAAAATATAGTAAGGAAATCTATACTACATTAATATAACGTACATATATATATATAGATATAGATATTATTAATGTTTATCTTTAATTTTTATTTTTTTTTTAATAAAAATATTTAAATAAACTTTTTTTTAGTATTTATACATAAATAATGCCATAAAACCAAATCTTGATGATTTTATATATGATCTTTATGAAGTAATTTTTTTTTAAAAATTTTGAAAATAATTACATATATATATATTTATATATGTATTATTTTCTGATTTTCAGTTATATAAAATTTCAGATAGCTTAAATATTTCATACAGTTTCACACCAGCGTATTAACAGGCAAAATAAAAAAAAAAAAAAAAAAAAAAAAAAAAAAGTATTTAAAAATATATTACAAAATTACATAAATATAGCAATATTTTAAATATATGTTGTACAATTATATATGATTATGTTGTATATTAATAAAATATACATAAATAAAAAAGACAATAAAATTAAAGTCTATAAAGAAGACTAACTAGAACATGTGTCTTCTTTGTTTAATTTTTTTACAATTTCTTGATTAACACAATATTTTGTATTTTTTGATGTGTTTTTTTTTTTTAATGGAACATTTTTATTTACATCATTTATATTATTTACGTTTGATTTATTTTTATTTATTCTCGAGTTTATGTCTTTATTTAGTTTTTTATTTAAATTATACTTATTGGTAAAGTTAACAATTTCACCATCATCATCGCTACTACTACTACTACTGCTACTATTACTTCTACTACCACCTTTAATTTTACTAGAACCATTAGTTGGTACTACAAAATTATATTCTAAATTATTTTTATTTTTGTTTTTTTTTTTATTTAGATTATAGAATTGTGAGTTAAAAATAGCATCTTCTTGCTCTTTTTTTTTTTCCATCATATTATATTCTTCATTTTTTTCTTCCCTTTTGTTATTTTTTTTCTTTAAAATTTTAATATATTCCATATTCTTTTTAATTTTTTCTTTATCATTTTTCTTCTCTTTTTCTAAATTTTGAATTTTTTCCATAAGATATGTTATTCTTGTGTTTTGTTGTTGTATTTTTTTTTTGCAATTTTCTATTTCTTCTATTTTTTCCTTCATAAGTTGATTATATTTTTTAATTTTTTCTTCTAGAGTATTTATTTTACTTTCTTTTGCATTAATATTTTCATTCATTTCATTTTGTCTTTTTAAGTTATTATTTACATCCTGTTTATTTTTCGTACTTTCGCTTTGAAGAATTATTATTTTTTGATTTAAGTTTTTAATGTTTTCATTAAGCATATTTATTTCACTATTTTTATCGTCCAATTTTTTTTTCAAAACATTTATTTGCTCATTCAAATCAGATATATGAATATTTTTATTTTTATCTATACTTGTTAAATTTTTAATTTTTTCCTCTGATATTTCTTGTTCATTTTTAAATTTATTTAATTCTATTAATATTTTTTTCTCAGATTGTTTTAATTTTGTAATCTCTTCTTCCTTTTCTATTCCTATATGTTGTAACTCCTTACATTTTTTAATAAAGTTTATAATCTGAAATATATACACATATATTTTATGTATAATTGTATATAATTATATATATATATAATTTTATATATATATATACTTGTGATGAAAATGATTCATTTTCTTGTTTTAGATTATTTATTTCATCTTTATTTTCAAGTAATATTAAATTTAATTCTTTTATTTGGTTAATTATATTATCTTCTTCTATATTTACACCATTTTTATTTCCATTTGAAATAGAAAATAAATTTTTATTAAAGATTTTTTTAATTTTATTATCTTTCGTTTCTTCTATAAATATATATTTATATAAAAAAAATATTATATCTTATTTATTTAGGAAAAAAAATAATTTTTTTTTTTTTTTTTTTTTTTTTATATACATAGTATTTAACTTTTTAATGGGTATTCAGGAATTTTATTAAGTTTTCTTTCTTTTATTTTACTCATTTAAATTAAGTAAATATATATATATATATTGTACAGATAATCAAACAAAAAAAATTCAATTAAATAAATATATATATGGAAAATGAATTATCTTGAGTGCTTACATAAATTTGTTAATGCACATTCAGAAAATTTTTTACAAAGCCTTTATGCTGTAGTAGAAAGTTCACAAGTATGAAAAAAAAAATAAATCATTTATATAAATATATATATATATATATTAATGAGAAATGTAATAATTAGTATATATAATGTTAAACTCTTAATATTTTACATATAAATTATTATAAATACTTATTTATGTATATATTATTAGCTTTTTGTTTTCGTCTAATATATATTTTTTTTTTTTTGTCTTTTTATTTATAAATATAATTTTTTTTTTATTTTTTTTTTTTTTTCTAGATAGAATGTCTTGAATGCCCAATAGAAAAAACAAGCACAGACAATTTTTTAATAAAAATATACATAAATAATATAGTAAATAAATATATTTATTCTTCTATATATCAATATATATATTATCAATCTTATTTCATTTATTATTTTTTTTATACATTTGCCACTTGTATTATGATATTTAATTTTCTCTTTTTTTTATTATAGATACATAATATTAGAACATTATTATTAACTTGTGTAAATGGGTCAGTAGGAAACTTACTTCATAACACAGATATAGTAAAGAGGGAAAGAAATATTTATTTAGTTGATAATGATACTAGTGATATAAAAACAGAGGGGAAAAAAGACATTAAAAATGAAAAAGATAATAGTAATAATAACATAAATATTGAAGATGATTTTTTAAATAAATGTAAAAAAGTGCATAATATTAGAAAAAGTTTACAAAATACGCATATAAAAAAAAATTATTTTGTTAATTCACAAAATAATATATTAGATTATTACATATAAAGAATATTTCGTTAGTTTTTTTTTTTTTTTTTTTTTTTTATGTATACTTGTTATGCTTATTTCGTTAAAAACAAAAACAAAGAAATCAAAAAAAATTAAATATATAAAATAAAGAAATAACAAAAAGAACTGTAACAAATATAATTATTTTTTTAAAAGAGTGATTTATTTTTTTAGTTACAAATTAACTGCTCTAATTTAAAAAATTATTTTTTTTCTGAATATTTGTAAGAAGGGTTACTTTTGGTAAAATAAAATGTATGTTTTTTAATTTTTGATTACATTTAACTGTTTGTTTTTTTTGTAGAAACAAACACATCTTCAAGTTGATAATTTTTGTATATATCATCTATTTCCTCATCTATTTTACTTTCAAAATAATAGTTTGATGTTATATTAAAATTCATCATATTATTAACACAATCAAAAAAATTCTCCACATTTCTTACAATGTTATTTATTTTATTAGTGAGTAATTCTCCAAATGAGCGTGAACTATAAATTTTTCCATTAAAAATGCAGAACATTTGAACAGTTTTACTACAAATTATATTTTTTAATTTAAATCTATGGGTTAATGAAATATGAAATATTGAATTTGTATTATAATATATATGAATATTTACTAAATCATTTGGTTCATTACTCTTTAAAATACTTAAATTGTCATAAGTTACACCAAAAATATAACCCTCTTCATCATCACTAATATTTTTTCCTGATCTAATTTTTTCATTTAAAGATAAGTGACTTCGTGATGTGTAAAAAGGTGATGTATAAAAATAATTTAATGCATTCTCTTTGTTATTTAATATATTTTTTGATAAATATAAATTATCAACATATTCAATTTTATTCTCCTTTTTTAATACAGATTCGTAATAAGGTTCTTCCATTATATATTTTTTATTTTTTAAAAAAATAATTCGTTTTCAATTCTATTTTTTATTTTATTTTTACTAAATCGTTTATTATTATCCTTCCTTTTTTACTGATTTAATTTTTCTATTATTGTTATTAAAGTAAAAAATAATGCAGTTTATATTATTTTGTCAAACACTTGAATTTTTTTTTTTTTTTTGAAATCACAAAAAAATTATCAAATTTTATACTTTATCATTCTTGAAAATTTTATTTATATTAAAAAGTGATTTTATACTCAAAAAAACATTATAATTGAATAGGAGTTTTGTTTTTTTAAAATAAAAACAAAAATTTATTTTTTTTTGAAGAAATACATATAAAAATGGTTATATTATTAAAAAAAATTTATAATAAAAAAATATACTGATTATAATATATATAATTTTTGAAAAAACTTCAAGAATTATATTTTATTCATAAATTCTTTTTAATTCATAATTTATCATATATTAGGAAAGTGGTAAAAATATATAAAATGAAAGCATTGTTTAAAGTATATAAGAATGTGATAATAATACTAATAAACGAAATTATAAAGAAAATATTTCTAAAAGATAAAAATACAAAAAAATTATTAGATATGCAATTAAAAGTAGTTTTAAATATGTCTTTATATATTAATTTGCTTAAAATGGAGAATTTAATTTAAATGAAAAATTTAGATTAGTTATTATATATATATGTAGATATATAGATATATTATTTTTAGGCATAGAATATGTTATATATTCTTTTTTTTATATATATTTTTAATTTATTCACTAATTTATTGTAAAAAAAAGTACGAGAATTTTCCAGTTACACTATATCATCAACTAGCATTTTATTTTTTAAGCAAATAGAATTATGATGTAAATTTATAAATTTATGAAATGCTTTAAGATAAAAAGGAAAATTTTTTATTTTTAATTCTTCAATTTTTTCATTTATTTTAGTAATTTTATTCTTATCATCAGTTTTTTTTTTTTCATTTAGAAGATTAATTATCATAGCATCATTATTAATCATATAATCTATTATATTTGTTTTGTTATATTTTAGTTCATAAATGCATTCGTCACTTATTATACTACTTTCACTGTTGTTAATATATTAAATTTCAATGTTTTAATTTAATATTTTTTCAAACAAAACATAAGCAGCTCCCCTTAAAAATGATTTTTCTCTATCGTTAATAATGTAAATAAAAATTATATTATTAAAACTAATTATATTTTTTACTATGCTTATACAACTTGATAAAATATCATTTTCAACTTCATTTTATCGTGTATCAATTCCATTTAAATCTAAAATTATAAAAAAAGGAATATTTTCTTCTTTTATTACCTCTAAAAAGTTTACTATTCTTTTTGCTTCTTTACTACTTAACAGTTTTCCATTGTTATTATTTTTTCCCCCAAGAATTTTTTTTTTTTTTTTTTCCTTTTCTAACTTTCTTAATATATTATTATATTTATATAAATGTTTTGCTATTATTGTCATTTTTTCTTCATTACAATTTTTTTTCCCCTTCATGTTTAAATAATCCTCTTTAAGTTTTATAGTATCATTTTCTAATGAATTCATATTATCTATAGTAGAAAAATTAGTAATTTCTAATTTTTTTTTTTTTTTTTTTCTTTTATTACTTTTCATTATAGATATAAATGACACAGGAATACCTCCTAATGTTGATCTTCTCATTTTAAGGCTCTCATTCAAAGAAAATGTGATAGAATTTTTATCAATAATTCTATGAGATGAAAATAAATTTTTAACTTTTCTATTCACAACATCAGTATAAATATTATTATCCTTATAATTTTTCCTACGAAATTCTTTGTTCAAATCTTTTGTATAATTTAACCATGATAATATATTTATTATTCCATCATAATCATTATCTACAACCATTTTAGAAAAATCAACTTTTTTCATTATTCTATCACCACTAATTAATAAGTTTTCTTTTTCATATTTGTTTTTTATGTTAAAATGTGTATGCTTTTTTGTAATAATGTTTATCATATGACTACTTAATAATAAAATTGTTGAGTTTTTTTTTTTGAATAACCCTTTTAAAAATAGCTAAAAGCGACGTACAAAATCCCATACATCTGCTACTAACAAAAGAAATTAAAATGGAATTTTCTCTATCCAATAAAATCTTTTTAATTAAAATACTACACAGTTTTAAATTTGTAGAACCATACTCATTGTTTTCACCTAAGATACCTTTTATAATAAACTTTTTGTTATTATTTTCAATTTTTTCTTCACAAATTATATCATTTTTTATTTTTTTAATAATCATCTTTCTCTACATAGAAGTATTCTATGCCCTCATTTTTTCTATTTTCATTTATCTATTTTACTTTTATGTTGTTTTTTAGAATATCAAATATTTTTATATCGGCTCCTAAGTTATTTGTTAGGTAAACTAAAGGAATTTTATATATAATGATTAAATCAAAAATATTTTTTAAAAGATTAAGTTCTTCATAACCATATGAACCACCTCTTATCATTACATTATCAATGAAAATAATTAATTTTCTTCCTTTTGAGTTTAATTCAGTTTTCACAAAAAATAAAAATGCGTTAACACCTTCATTCCCATTTTCTATTTTGTTATATTCATTTAAAACAATAGTGCTACTTAAATCATAAGAGTTTTTATAATTATTTAAAATATAATAACTATTATTCATCTGACTATTAAAATCATTATCATTTTTATTTAAATTTCTATCTTCATTATTATGCTTATTACTTTTTATATTATAATTAAAAACACCATATGTATTAATATGATGACATACTTTTGATGTTCTTGAATTATTTTTTAAATTATTTTTCTTCTCACAACTTACAATTTTTTTAACATTTGCATTAGAAGAATCTATAACTAAAATTTCCTTTTTTATATCTCTACTATTATATTCAAGAGGATTAGTATTTAAATTTAAATCAAATAAAGAATCATTAGTTTCTTCTTTATTTAATAAATAAAATAAATTTTTTTTTTCATTAATGTTTTTATGATATCTATTTAAGTCATAATTTACAAAAGATATTTTGTTTTTTCTCATAAAGTCAACATTTTTCCTACTTGAAATGGCATAAATCTGTCTAAAAGTTAAAAAATTATAATAATATGGATTATTAAATATTGATGCCTTAAAAATTTCTATAAAATCATATAAATAAGGAGTATTTAAACTTTTTGCTTTAATTTTATTTTTTTAGAAAACTATTTATATTAAATATACTTTCATCAAATATCACATTTGATTTTAAACTTATATAATGTAACTTTTTTTTTTTTAATTTTTTCATTGAATATATTATTTGCTTTTAATATATAAGGTTTTAATTTGAAACTATACTTTATGGCATTAATGTCTATATTAATTTCTTTTAATATATTAAAATGAAGATAATTGCTATATAGAATGTTAATTTTAATAATTGTTAATAAAAATGTTAATATAACTAATTCCATTAGTATGAAAAAAAAAAATATCTTTTTAAAAAGTATATATTTATTTCTTTTTCTATAGTATACATATGTATATCAACATATTTATCATTTGTTTCTTTAAACATATATACATTTTTAAGATAATTTTGATAGTTTCTGAATTTTTTTTCCTTACTAATTTCCTTTAAAAATAAATCATGAGATTTGCTTACCTCAAAATTATTATCCATTTTAAAAATAAATAAAAAGTCATTTTTTTTTCAAACTTAACAGAACTTCCTAGATATGCATGAATATTTTCAAACTTTTCTAATATTCTAAAATTATAAAATTTTTTTAAGAAATTTAATTTACTACATAATAATTCCATTATTTTTTTTTTTATCTTAATTAGCAATATCTATATTAGAATGATCAGTTCATTTGCATAAATAATTAAGAAAACTATAAACAAAAATTAACATTTTTAGATTTTATAAAAACTTAATTCAGTTTAAAAAAATATAGAAATTAATATATCAATACTTTTGAAACAAGATCTGTATTAATTTGTCCAATGTGTTAACACCCTTTTTCATAATAAACTTTTGTCGAAAAGTAAACAAGCTATTAAGCATTTATATTTTCGTATTTAAATAAAAAAAAAAAAAATAATTATAACATTTTCTATGTATATCTTCTTTTATATATATTTTTTTTTCTATATGAAAAAAAAATATTAAGTCTTACGTTTATTTTGGCATTTCATTTTTTTTTTTTTTTTTTTTTTTTTTTGTATTAGGAAAAAAAGGAAAAAAAAAAAAAAAAAAAAGATAAACACAAATAAAAAAATAATCATTCATATTAATTAACATTTCTTTAATTATTTAACTTTTAACAAATATAAAAATATGTATTGCTAAAAATAAATAAGAGGAATATGCATATATATATAGATATATGCCATTTAATTTATCTTTTAATATATATTTTTAATTTAAAAAAAATAGTATTATTAATGAATTATAAAATAGTGTAATAAAATTAAATTCGTATATATAAATGTTTGTGTATATATGTATATATTATAAAATAAGGAATAAAAATAATATACTATGACAAAAGGGAATATTATAAGTTATTAGTATAAGGTATAAATAATAAAGAATTTTTATAAATATTAAAAAACATAAAAAAAAGAATACACATTCATATATATTCATTGAGTGAAAAAAATTATTACTTATATGAACTAATTTGATTAATAAGTTGTATTTTTTGTTCTTCAGATAAAATTTTAAAAGTGTTGTAAAAATCATTTAAGGTTTTTTTGTATAATATATCATTAGATAACTCCTTTATTGTTTTCAAAGTTTTTTCGTTTAAAATTTTTTTACATGCTTCATAATCATCTTCCTCAGATCCACTAATATCATCTATGATCTTTTTTATTTCATCAGATTTAATTAATGAGTTACTGTATTTTTTACTATAAAAAATTAAAAAAAAAATAAAACAATTATTTGTTATACTTAAAAAAAAAAAAAAAATTAAAATATAGTATAAAAAAAAAAGGAAATATAAATAAAAATATATATATGTAATACAAATTTATGTAATATTTTTACTTTAAGATTTTTATTAGTAATCTTCTTAATAAGCGATAATAAAAAAAGGAACGAGCATTTTTCCATGGAACGATTTTTTTTATTACTCCTTTTGATTTCATGCAAGTTGATACATCGTGTAAATCGGCATATCTATGACATACTTGCAAATAAAATGGTAAAAGTTCTTTTTCTTTTTCTTCTATTTCCTTTTTTATTTTAGATATTTCTTCATCCTATATAAAACAAAAAGGTATATTTTTTAATATATTTACATACATTAAAGAAATTTCTTATTTAAATAATATACTTTAATACAATAATATATATATATGAAATGAATAATAAAAAAAAAAAAAAAAAAAAAAAATTTTTTTAAGAAACAAGTAACGTGCAATTTTTTTTTTTTTTAAAATATATTAACCTGTGCAGTTGATAATTTTTTATTTAATTCTATTATTGAAGAATCGGTATTATGCATTAATTTTCTAATTTCTGGGAATCTAAATTTAATTTCAACAATTCCAGGTGGTTCCAATATACCACCTTTGCTAGTGGTGTCAGCATACATTTCAATAATTTGACTATTCAACGTTTCATCTACAACTACCCAAGAACCTCCCCTTAATTCACCAAAAATTGGTATATAAACAAAAACAGGATGCTTGTAATTAACTAGTTGATTAACTATCATAGACCCAAACTTCAAAATACTATTAAACATATCCATCGAGCCACCAGAAAAACCTCTCCAATTGGCAAAAACGAATAAAGGCAAATTTTCCTTATTAAAATCCTCAATAGCTTGAGCAGTTTTATATGAATTATCTGGAAAAAAAACACATGGTGCCTGAGGGGATTTTACTGATTTTGTTTTTAAAACTGGATCACATGGAATAGTTTTCGTCACTAAATTTTTATTAACAGCAATAAAACCAACAGGTATAGAACCTAATTTTCCTCGTCCTGTTATGATACCTTTTCCCCATTCATTCATATATTCAAAATAGCTATTTTTATCTAAAAATCCTTGTTTTGTATCTGTTCCTTTAATTAAATCAATAACATTTAAATTATCTATATCATCTGCATCAATATCATTTATTTTCTTAATAAAAAATTTCATATTTTTCTCTTGATCTATTGTCTCTACATACTTATTATTTATTTTATTTTCACGTCTCAAATATTCAGTATTTCCTTTATTATTTTTTTCCGAATTTTCTTCTACGTTATTTGATAAGTTATTATCTAAATTGTTAACATCTTTTTTTTCTATATGTCTTTCTACGTTCTCATTAATTACACAACTGTCACATGTTTTTGTAAATTCTGGATTGTTTTCATATTTTTCCTTTTCATGCTCTTCTTGTTCTTTTTCAATAATATCATAATAATCATTACTTGTTTTAGGTACATAAGATAACCATTTAATAATTTTATCTACTCCATCTTGATCATTTTGTGCTTCCAATTGTGAAATTCCATTTCTCATCATAATGTTTACACCTCCTAATTGCTCATTACTAACATAAACTTTTTCACCTAATAGTTTATTTAATGCATTAAATCCTGTTAATAAAAGAGAAGATCCTTTTTTCTGAATAGTCCTTTTACCAAGTCTTACTAAATATGCACCAATACCAACACTTCTACCTGTAACATATGATAAGGTAAAAATTTGTTCATAAGCTTTTGAAGTTTCTCCTGCTATTAATCCGCTTCCCCTTAAATTTTCTACACCAACAGGATTTTTCAAATTTCCTACAATACCATCAATAATATACCTTTTTTCATTATTTTCTATAACTTCTCTTAAAAATACAATATCTTCTTTGTCTATTTTATTTTTCACATCTTCAGTTATATATATATAATTATAACCTAATTCCTTCTTTTTTTCATCTTTCCAGCTTATTTTTATTTTATCCATAAGAAAATTATACAAACCAATTCTTGCACCAGAATTACATGAAATATAAATACGAGGAATTTTTTTTTCCCTTGCATAACTGGATATTCCATAGAACAACTCATCTTCTAAAATACTAAACGATCCACCAAAAGTGGTAATATCATTTATTATAAAAACTACATCTCTTCCTTTGCTATATTCATCCGTTTTTATGTTCATTAATAAACCAATTACACTCATTTTATTTTGTCCTAAATCTAATTTGTTCGATAAATATAATGATTTTTTTATTTTAATTTCGTAATCACTTAAATTATCGTAATTTTCAAATAATGAATTATCATTTGTACTTTCCTTTTTTTCATCAAAAATTTCATTTGGATTTTTTTCCGAAATATAATCTAATTTAAATTCTTTTATGCTATTAATATAATTGAAATTGCTATTTAAAGTTTTATTCATTCTATTTAAGGATATATTAATTAATTTAATAAAATCGTAAGCATATATTGTGTCAGTATCTCTTGCTCTTTTTCTTTTTAAATATACAGAATCAATTTTGAAATCATAATTATCTACTTCTTCAATAACGTTTTTTTCATTATCAAACAAAACGTGTAATTTCAATAATTTTTCTAATTTTAATTTTGGTCCTGTTTTTATATCTTCATTTGTTTTGGTATATATGTTAATGTAAACATCATTAACATAATTTTGTATTAATAGTTCATTGTATGAATTAAGAAAATTTTTATATACCTCTTCAATATTATTGATTTCTTCAACATTATCAATTATTACGCTATATATAACATAACTACTTATTTTATTATATGTAACTAATGGATTCATTCTACCAATTTCTATATCATTTAATGATTCTTTTAATTCTTGCATAAAATCATTATAAATCAATTTTTTTTCTTCTATAAATGAGTTTTCTGTTTCCTTTATATCATTACTTTCTAATTTCTGAATTTTGTATTTATTTAGTTCCTTCAAATTATTCAAATCAATGAGCTTGTGAGCAAATAAAGATGTGTTTTTATTGTCATTCTTATATGATCCTAAGAAGAGTTTGGTTTTAGTAAACTTTTTTTCTCCTACATTTTTTATTTTATAATTTTTTAAAATTTCTTTGAAAGAAAATATATATTTTTCAAAAGGTAATAAATTCAAATTCTCTTCATTTTCAGTATTTGTTAAATTCTCTGATTCTTTTCCTTTCCATTCATATATATCGCCGTAATTATTCATGGAATAATTATATACGTATAAATTATTACATTCTTTCAAAAGAGCATCCAAATTATTTTCAATAGAACTAAAAAAATTATCATTTTTATTTATAATGTGTATATTATTTAAATGTGTATCTGTTTTTAATTCTTCCTTTAATATATTATTTATATCTATTGTGTCTTTTTCATTTAAAATCAAAATATTATCAAATTCTGAATTATTTATTGAAAATTTCAAGAGATTGTTAGAAACCCAAACAGTTTTAATATCAAAATATTTATATAAATTTTTTAAATAAATCTCTAAAAATATGTAATTATTTTGAGAGTTGAATAACGAAGGAACAAACATGTGAATATTGCTAGAATCTTTTAAAAATATTTCTATTATTTTTTCATAATTGTTACTATTAATTAACTCTTCAATTTTAGAATAATTTATATTATTATTCTTCATATAAATATTCAACTCATTTTTTTTGTTCTCCTCAATTGTATTATAATTTAATATGCTTTTAAAGTATTCATTAAGTTCATAGTGCTTATATAAATATATTATTAATCTTGATAATAAAACTATATTTCCAAATATCTTTCCTTTGAATGTTTCTAATACTTTAATTTTATCTAAAATATATGATGGTAATACAGTTTCTCTATTTTTTATTAAATATGATAATATTTTTTCTACAAATTGTATACTTAAATAATTGTATGTATATGCATGAATAATTTCATACTGTTTTTTTTTATCACTTATGCTATTATATAAAATATCATATATTTCTACTTCTGTTATACTTTCTTTTTTAGAGAATAAATTATTATATTCTATAAATTTATCTAATATGTAATTAACGTTATTAAAAAAACCATCCTCCTCTAGTAATTTTTTAAAACATTCTTCGTAATTTTGTTCATAACCTTTTAACAAATATTCTATTCTTTTCATATTAGGTATATCTAATAAAAAATTGTTATTTTTTGGTATATTATCAGGTGTTTCATTATTATTCATTTTGCAACCATTTGATGAGTTATCATTTGATGAATTATTATTTGTTGTATTGTTTGATGAATTATTATTTGTTGTATTGTTTGATGAATTATTATTTGTTGTATTGTTTGATGTTTCATTATTTGTTGTATTATTGTTTGTTATATTTTCATTTGATGAATTATTATTTGTTGTGTTGTTTGATGTTTCATTATTTGATATTTCATTATTTGATAATTTTTCATTTGATGTATTCCTAGTAGAAACAATTTCATATGACGTGTTATTATTAGTTATGTTATTACTAGTTGTATTATCAAATGATAAATTATCATTTGTTACATTGTTATTTGATAAATTATCATTAGTTAAGTTTAAATTAGTTAAGTTATTCGTCAAGTCACTTTCTATTGAATTATTGCTAACCCAATTATTCAAGGAATCACTATTAATAGAATTATAATTTGTAGAAATATTTATTAAGTCACTAATAGTAGAGTTATCATTAAGTGTATTATTATTAGGTAATGAATTAGTATTAGGTGCATTAAAATTGGTTAAGTATGTTTTCATACAATTCAATTTATTATTTAAATAGTTTATTGGCATTATTTTTTTTTCATTATGATTTTTATGAGAAAATAAACGAAATATTTTCTTTTTATGCTTTAAAAATAATCTTTTCTTTTTATTTTCTCCAGGTGACATCTCTTCTTCTTCATAAATTACATCATAAGAATTTTTTTTTCCTTCTACATATATTGTATCTTCTTTTGTTAATGTTTTATATAAGTTTCCAACATTATTTGATATATTTCCTCCTATATTTCTTTCTTCATTTAAAGATGTATTATTTTCTTCTTCGTTTAATTTTAAAGTTTCCATCTGTCTAAAGGAAGTATCCCTATTAATATTATCATTATTATTTTCATTATTATTTTCATCATTAAATTCTATACTTGAGGAAAATACTGGGTCTTTTAATTCATATGCATATTTATTTGATAAATCTAATTGGCCATTGAAAAGTTCAATTTTATTCTCCTCTTCTAATTTAGAATTTTCTCCTTTTTCTATTACTCCCAATAAATCACCTATTTTAATTATACTTCCTTCAGATTTTTTATGTTTTAAAATTCCAGTTTCTGTTGATTTAAAAGTCATAATCATTTTCATTGCTTCAACTTCAATATAGTCTTCATTCTTTTTTACTTCATCTCCATCATTTATTAAATATTTCACTATCTTTCCATTAGTATTGGATATTAAATGAAATGGATTACTAATTTTCGGAATAAATATATTATCTTTTTCTAAATTCATATGTATACCTAAACTATCTTCTGAACAAGTGTATATATATGTTTGATTATGAAAACTTGCAAATATTTTATTATTTTCTTTATCATATTCTGCCATTACTTCTATTTGTTGACCATTAATTTCAAGTTTATATAAATTTTCACCAATGTTAAATCCCTTAAAACAGTATTTCATATTTTCAAATACCATATCAAAAATATATGCATTTTTCACTTTTTTTTTTAAATCAGATGCATTATCATTTTCTGATTTTATACCTATATCATCTCTATTTAAATTATCTTCAACCTTTTCTTTTTCACTCATGAAATAACAAATCAACTTAAAAATTGTAGCACATAATATTATTATATGATAAGTATTGTAATAAATATTTTTTTTTTCTTTTATAATAGTGTCCAGCCAATTCGTTGTTATATTATTATCGATAAAAGCTTTCGATTCTAAAATTTTCGCTAAATATTTTGTAACTGTTTTAATTTCTCCATCTATATTTAATTTTCTTAATGATAAAATCAAATTTCTTCTAGCAATTTCTCTAGTCTCTCCTTTTGCAAAAATATGTCCAATTTGAGAATCTGAAAACTCGTGAACGAACCCATCATTTATAGAAAAGTAACCCCATACATCATTTGAATTCTGAAAATTTATTCTTTTTACCTTTCCTGAAGTTGGTTTGAAACTATCATTACTATTTTCAGCCGTAATTCTTGCTGATATCACATAATTATTTACATAAGGTCTATTATTATAAAAATCAAAAATTTCAATATCCTTTAAATTCTTTGTTTTTAATGTATGCATATTAGTAGATATGTTAGAAATATTAGAAAAATTAGATATATTAGAAACATTAGAATTATTATTTAACATATATTTTTCATGAGTTTCCTTAAATCCATTTTTTCCTTCCTTTTTTATGTGAGATAAATTTTTGTTGGTTATTTCTTCAATTCTGTATAATTTTTTAATATCATCTATATTTTGAAGAGGAATTCCCATAGCTACTTGAAGTTGAATAGCAATGAGATTGCTGTTTGTTATTCCTTCTGATACTGGATGTTCTACTTGTAAACGTGGATTTAATTCCAAAAAATAGTATTTCTGTTTTATTTGATCATACAAATATTCCACTGTTCCTGCACCTCTATACTTAATCATTTTTGTTAATCGTATTGAAGATTTTTCCATTTCTCTAAAAATATCAGGTGGAACAATTAAAGGGGGTCCCTCTTCAAAAATTTTCTGAAATCTTCTTTGAGTAGTACAATCTCTACCACTTAATGAGCAAACATTACCATACATATCCCCTACTACTTGTATTTCTATATGCCTAACATTATTGCATACTTTCATTAAAAATATTGGAGAGTTTGGCAATTCATTTTGCACTTGTTCATATGCCTTTTTAACTTCATTTTCATTTTCTACCTTTCTAATACCTTTACCTCCACCTCCTTGTGATGCTTTTATCATAACTGGAAACCCAATTCTTTTACATTCATTTATACATTCTTCTAAAGAATGAATTGTAGCTTCATTATATATATCTTCACTAATGTTATTCTCAAAATCTTTTATTTTAATATCATCACCACTCCATTTTACAACAGGCACATTCACACTTTGAGCTAAAATATTTGCAGATATTTTATCTCCTAATGCTTCCATAACTCTTCCAGTAGGACCAATAAATATTATATTTTCTTTTTCTAATAAAGTGGAAAGTAAAGGATTTTCTGAACAGTGACCCCATCCTGGCCAAACAGCATCTACATTTTCTTTTTTTGCAATATCTACTATTAGAGGAACATTAGCATAATTATTAATATTTTTTCCTGGAGGAACTTTTATTACTTTATCAGATAAAGATATATATTTTGTATTACTTTTAATATCATCTTCTGTAGCTAATACTATAATTTTGATTAAATTTTCATCATAAAAGTTTTTAAATAACCATTCTTTCAAAGATAAAATACATTTTAATGCTGCCATTCCATTGTTTGCAATTAGTAATTTTTTTATAATTTTATCATTCTTATTTTTTAAAAAATTAAAATACGGATATCTTCTTTCATTTACATAATTTATATATTCTTCATACGCCTTTTTTTTTATTCTGTTTTTTTCTTCGTAAGTTAAAAAATCGGAATTATTTTCTAACACACCGATATTATCATTATTATTTGTAGATTTATCTAATATTTTATTTTCTTTATTACATATGTTTTCTTCTAATATATATTCATTAGTTAAATCGTCTCTATTTACGCCTTTTGAATAAGTTCTATATTCACTATTATTGTTATAATGAATATTGTCACTATTAATTTTATTTTTCTTTTTTAATAGTAAAAAATTATTAGAAATTTTAAAACTATAAAATAATTTATTTAAATTTTTCTTCTTTTTCTTTAAATTCATTTTGTTTATTAATCCTTTATTTAATAAAATGTTATCTGAATTATCAAATAATATATCACTTTTTGACTTACTAAAATAAGAATCCATTAAATTATCTTTATTTAAATTCTGTAAAACATTATTTTTTTCCTTATTATTATAACTTAAATTATTATCTGACGAATGTTCTAAGTAATATTTACTTTTGTTATTTTCACTCAAATATTCATAATTGTAATCATTTGCATCAACAGAATAATTTTCATTAACACTATTTTGAACTTCATTATCATTAGATGTTATATTTAAAAAAACCTTATTAAGTTCATTTTTCTTGGTATATGTATTATTTCCACTTTTAGATAAATAATGTTCACTAAAAATGTTTTGAGTATTTCCTTTTTTATTGTTTGATGTTTTATCAAAATTTTCAGAAAAATTATGAAAATTTAAGGAAAATGATGTATTTTTAGAATCATTCTTTGGAGTATCTAAATATTTAGATCTATTGTTTTTAAAAAAAGAATGAAATATTTTAGTTCCTTTTGATACAAATAATGGAATTTGTCTATTTCTATTGTTTACATGGAGAATATTATGGTTTCCCTTTATACTATAGCATATTTCTCTAGTATCTTTTTCATTAAAGTTATTTTTATTAACATTATTATGCATGTGTAAATAATGTATGTTTCTATTTTTTATGCACTCTACAAGTTTTTCAAATATTAGAACAAACAAAAATAATGATAAAAAGTTTTTAATCATTTTTTGATTTTACTCCATTTACGTTTATTTTATCTTATTATTTAACATTTCATGTACACTTTTTTTCTATCACCTTGTCACTTTTATTTATATCTTTATTTTTTCCCCCTTTATATATGCTTATTTGACCTTTTTGTCATATAAATATGTATTCCAAATTTTTTCTTTTTCTTTTTTTTTTTTTTTCTTTATATAATTATTTTTACTTTTTTATATTTCTTTTTGTTATTTTTTTGTATGTTTCATTAATTGAATTTTTTTTTTTTTTTTTTTTTTTTATATGAATATTTTAATTATACAAGTTTATTTTATAAATAAAAACAAAATGAAAAAAAAAAAACAAAAAACTGTATATAAATAATAAAAAAAAAAATTCATATAAAATAATGCTTTTATTAATAATATATATAACATAAAAATCTTATCATTTTTATATTATTTTTTTCTGATTTCTAAAAAAAAAATATTATAGTGTTAAAACAAATTTACGTTTAAATAATAAATATATCAATTTAATAGTGTATGTATCTAGAATTTCACAAATGTTCCTTTTTTTTTTTTTTTTTTTTTAATATAAATTAATAAACTCAAAATTTTTTTTTCTCTAGTATTATCGTTTTTTTTTTTTTTTTATTTTAATATATATTTTTTTAATTTCGCTTAACAATCTTAATTATTTCACAATTTTTTTTTTTTTAAATATTAAATTTTTTTTTTTATATTTTCTGTAGCACTCGTAAAATTTTTCTTTACTGCATATTTTATTTTTAAGAAGTTGCATTATTCATNTTTTTTTTTTTTTTTTATTTTAATATATATTTTTTTAATTTCGCTTAACAATCTTAATTATTTCACAATTTTTTTTTTTTTAAATATTAAATTTTTTTTTTTATATTTTCTGTAGCACTCGTAAAATTTTTCTTTACTGCATATTTTATTTTTAAGAAGTTGCATTATTCATTCAAAAATTTTTTATTATTGCATTAGTCTCAATATAAACTTAAAATTATGAATATTTTTTTTATTTAAAAAATATATAATAAATAATAATTTTATAAAACAACACACACAAATATATAAATATATAAATTATATATATATATATATACATATAAATATATATACATATACAAATATATATATATATAAATATATATGTATATATATATATATATATATATATGCATATATAAATATATATGTTTATATATATATAAATGTATATATATATATATATATATATGTATAAATAAATTTGCACAATTCTAAAAAATTTTAAAAGTATAAAACTAAATTTAACTAAAACCTAAAGTATTATGAAGAATAAATTATATTTATTATGAATCTTTTTTTTATTTTTTATACTTATAATTAAATTATTTATTAATTTCTGTTTTTTGTCTAAAATATATACGCTAATTTTATTAAAAAGTAAAGTAGATTTTATATATATTGTATATATATAAATGTATTTATTTTCACAAATATATAGATCCAAAACAGTGTCTTAAATTATAATTATAAAAAAATTTTTATATAAAACAGGAAATATAAATAATACTTAAGAAATTTAGGTTTTGTAAATATAACAAAATTATATATTTATAAACAAATATTAATAGAAAATTCATAAAGATATTGCATACTTACATAATAAAAAAATTAAACACGGATATTATATCTTTTTTTTTTTTTTTTTTTTTTTTTTTTTTTTTTTTNTTTTATTTTTATTGTATTACAATTTTTTAAAATCTCCAGTATGCTATAATTTTTTCAGAGTTTCTACGTGGTTTAAAAAAAAATTAGAGCATGCAAAAAAAAAAAAAAAAAAAAAAAAAAAAAATGAAATACATATATAAAAAAAAATTAAGATCTAAGTTTAGATAATTTTGGTTATAAAAAGCATAAGATCTAAAAAGTAAAATATACAATGTAATATATTAAACACAAATTAAAAAAAAAAAATATTAAAAAAAAAAATATTAAAAAAAAAAAATTATTAAAAAAAAAAATTGTTAAAAAAAAAACTATTAAAAAAAAAAAAAAAAAAAAAAATTA